CACACACACACACACACACACACACACACACACACACACACACACACACACACACACTGTGCCATATCAGCATGCACATCTGCAATCACACATGTAAATATAGTTCTATGAGTTATTAATTCCCCTAAAATTACACACAAACACACACACACCCAGCAGCTTGTTGGAGGGTATTGGCTGATATAATGTGTGCAGTCAGTCCCCCCCACCCCCTGTTTTTGGCAGATGTGGCCGTAAGCTGGAGCAGCCTGAGCACCACCAGCACCACCAGGACCACAGGCATCAACAGCAGCACACGTACACCCTAGAGGCCCGGTGGCTCGCAGCTCTCTGGGAAACAGGAGCTCTCAGGGAGCTCAGGACTGATCGCTCTCACGCTGCCAGCTGGAATCTCTCTCATCTTCTCGTTTCCTCGTCATCTTGTTGCTGAGAAGTCTGGCTGCACGCGCGCAAGATAATAAGATGCCGATTTCAGCGTTACACTTTACAGGTTTTTATGTGCTGAAGCACTACTTTGCATAATTCCTATATGCTGCAGGATAATGTGCCACTGGTTCCCTGCAGCTACACACACTATCCCTACATCTATTAGTTATGCAACCACATACAGTAGAGTATTTTATGCACGGCCCCCTTGTACTTATGTTCATGAGGTTACATAGGTTTCCAGCTTCAAAAGGGGGGGGGAGCGACGCTGCCACAGTCTGGCAGTCAGAAATATTTTTGCGCAACATGCAATCTCCCCTCCTCCCCTTTTAGCTCCTTCACTTTAAATTAGAGTCATATCACAGGCATGGGAGCTCTCGTCTTCAACCTCTGTCTTCTCACCTCCCCTTTCTTCTCCTGCACTCTTTATCTCTCATTATCTCTCCATTAGTCTTTCACAGACACCTTTATTCCACCTGAAGGTGCGTGAGGATTTCTCTGTCTCCCGGCTGGTTTTCGTCTACTTTCCCCCGTGTCCTACATACAATGGGGCCCCTGCGGCAGGCTCCGTTCACCTTTAAATAACAAGCTGCTGGCTGACAGGCAGATGGTATAGTACTGTGCTTTCAGAGTGTAGCTGCTCATTAGAGCTTGGTACTCAGCATCATCTACAGCTAACCACCGTGACAGTCGGCACTTATAAATTAAGAGCCAAGTTATTTTCAGGCAGCCAGGAACAGGAAAACTTGAGTGAGAGTGTGACAGGAAGGTGTGAAAGAAAAGTGAAAGAGCAGACACATGCCACATGTTGCACCTCACTGCTGTATGCAGAATGATCTGCCTGGTTTGTGATGCATTAGTTTTTTACCTTAAAAAGAAGCAGACGTGCACATGAACCTTACAGACAAAGTGAGCATGCAATGACGGCAGTGGAAGGTGGCCAACAAAACCTAAAACCAAACATCTGAGAAGAAGTGCAGGTGCAATTTAAGAGGAAAAATGAACATTTCCAGCCTTGGCTTTAGAATCAAACTATCTGCATTTCAGAATAAAAGAATAAATACGGTGTCTTACCTCAGTGATAGCGTAAGTGTGAAACTCCTCATAAAAGAAAAAGAGGAAGAAGAGGGGATTCTGGTGTGAAGAGGAGAAGGAGACTAACAGGTGGCGGAGCGGGGAGCAGAGAGTAGGGAGAGAGCTGGAGAGAGAGAGGGAGAGCAGGGACGGAGCGAGCGCAGATTAAGATGAAAATGAGGAGCTGAGGGGAGAGAGGAGAGCGGCATGCTGGAGGAGGCAGAGGAGGAGGATGGAAGGAGTCAAGAGGATGAGAGAAAAAGAGAGAGAGGCAGGGGGCGAGTTATTCCTTGACAGTCTGCTACGCATGTGACCATTTCGCCTCACTCCCTCCTGCATCCCCCCACTGTCACACACACACACACACTTGTTTTTGCCATTTAGGAGGAGACTGCTTTGAAATCTACACATTCCCCTTCAGAATTAAACCAACCTTTGAGAGTGAGGCTGATTATCCTTTTCTTTAAGGCAATGAGCAAAACCAACATTGGATTATCCTGATGGATATTTACTAATGTGGAATAAAAACAAAGAAACAGAATCACTTTAGCAGCAAAAAACAGTTTTTCAATTTGTTCTTAACCCTTTAACTGAAACAGCACAGCTGTTTATATTTATGTTATACAGAATTTGATTGATTGAAGATACTGGAAAGTTGTGTGAGCTTAAGCCAGGAGATCGACATGATTTGATTTGTTATTAATTATACCATAATTAGACATTTCACCTTCTCCTTTCCTCTTGAGGGGTTGCTTTTAATCACAATACATCTAATATTGAATATTGAACATCTAAAAATGAGATGTTTGTTCGATTTTTTGTAAACAGAAGCATGAAATTAAAAGATTGAAAAACAGCCTTGTTGTGACTAAGATGATTTCATCTTAGTTAACTTAAACTGTTGGCCATTTATCTACATTTTGGTGTTAAAATGATACTTGCAAATTTTGCTGAAGCATGGCTTAAGTTTGAAAATTTGTTTTTGTTCTAGAATTATTGAAATAATTTTTGTAAAACCAAAATAAAATAATTTCTTTGCACGATTTAAAACCACAATTAATGACATTATTCAAATTTTAAAAGAAGAAAAACGTTTTATTGCTATAGGTGGAGCAGTGTCATTCCATCAGGGCAAGCAAGACGAGCAGTGCTTGCCCTTTAAAAACTAAAAAGAGACATCAATTAAAACAGTCTCTGACATCTAACACAGTATTCTGTCATAAAGCCTCTTGCTTGATTCTGTCTTTTAAATGACTTCCACCTTGTGGCAGTTGGCTATTGTCTCTGGAAGCAGGTTGACTGCTTGACTGGGATCCCATTGAAATCTCTGTGGGCAAGCGATTTAATCTGGATGCCCGTTAACAATGACTTTAGCGCGCCAGCAGATTTTTCTAGTTGCTTGCACATGGGCTTTGTGGATAATCCAGCGGGCTAGACCAGTGTCACCAAGCTGTGCCTGGCTTTACTTTCACTGCTCTGAGATCAGTTATTATATGCTGTTTGTAGAGCTAGTATTAGCAAGTAAACAAGCCCGCTTAAGTGTTCATTTAAACCGATAAGTTTTCTCTTACTTACCACCTTGCCCAAAATGTGTGATATGTATAGAGGAGTTAGTGTGGTGTGATGTGAAAAAGGTCTTGAATGATAACTCCTGCATATTAGCACAGAAAGCCTTGATAATGGAGGGGGCCTGGGTTGTCTGGGTTTTAAAAAAACAGTAACGTTAGCAGCACTTTCACAATAGCATATCTAAAAAAAGAGTTTATCCAGTTGTATTAAGTCACCACCTTAAATTTTCCTGAATATTTTTTGAATCCCCCGTAGATATTAATGATTAACTGTGTCACACATGGTTTAATTCACCTGTCATCATCTCTGCTTGCCTTTCTACAAAATTCACCACATGCCACTGAGGTGAAATAATGTACCGGAGCTGGAGAGGTCAGTACCTTCTAGCTAAATCTGGTAAAATTGACCAAAAGTAAAAGCTGTGCTCACCGACTGCATCAGCCTTTCCAAACTAATGTTTGAAAAAAAACATGAGGAATTAGTCATGATGGAAAAATTAATCAACTGAGCAGTCCTCCCTCTGCTTTTAGTTTTTAAGCTAATGCCCCGACCCTGTATTTGACGCACAAGCATGAGAGTGCTTTTCATCTTTTCAGTCCTGTAAAGAAAAAAACCCCCACATTTCCTTTCCTGCAAAGTTTAAATATTCTTTCAACATGTTATCCACCTAACTTCACCCTAACTTAACCCCAAGACTGAGAATTTTTCCTTGTGAGGAAATTGTTTGTCTCCCTATGCGCGTATGAGATTGGTTATTATGTCCTAATAATGTCAGCCGCACAGATACACAAACTGTGTTAGTTTTCAGGGGGAATACATCTAATTAAACCTTTCCATCTTTCTGTTCGTGTTAATTCCAAGCCAATACACTACATCCGAATCCAACTGTCGCTCTCTCAACCACACACACAACCACACACACACACACACATACAGTCTGTTCAGTCTCTGTTGCTCTGTATAATTAAGCTAGTAGCTCTTGAGTCTGTGATGGACAAGGGGAAACATGCTATTTCCCCCTTGCGTCAGCTGAGAGGGCAAAATTGGTGTTCTCTCTGTCTCTTTTTATCTGACTTGCCCCCCTCTTTCTTTGTCTCTTCCTTTCAGATTTAAGTCCACTCTCTGAAACTCATTGTCTATCAAAAAGAGGAGCCAGAAAACTGTCACACAGCACGGGATGATGAATAGACGTACTGGCGGGGTTTTTTTGTTTGTTGTTGTTGCAATCTTCAAAAACTGCTTGATGTCTTTGTTCAGTGGTGTTCATCATGTCTTCTTTCTTACTTCTTACTTCTTACTCCCCCTTAAGTTATCTCTCTCTTGCTTACTGTCATGCAAACAATCACACCCACTCTCGTATATGGTCGCACCATAAAATTTATGCCATGCAACAGACATGCGTGAACGCGTGAACGCACGCCAAAAATTGGCACAGCAGCCTCTAGAAAGGATGACTCCCACTCCTTCATGCAACACACATTTACGCAATCGCACACACAGCACACACATTTCAAGCCAACACTCTACTGATGTTGTGAAAAGACCCTTCAGTCCTTAAATTTGGGATTTATTCCACTTCCCTCCCCTCTTTCTCCTCTCCGTCCTTATCTCCACTCTCCTGCCTGCTGTTTATGAGAACAGAAAATCTCCTCATTAGAAATGCATAGTCGTTACATGCTTTCTCCACACCAGTTATGGCAGGGACGGGTGCTAGTGCTTCAGTGAAAACAGCTGACCGCAACAGAGTCCACAAAGGCTCTGACAAGAACAAATGACATCAGCAAACCAGTTGGTCTTGTTGCACATTGATGACAAACACTGACAGGAATAGTTTCTCTAACCAATTATAAAGTTCCTGATACAGTACACGGTGATTATTCAAAAAGAAAATTGATATGGAGTACTACAAGACACTTCTTTTATCTTTTTACCCCTTAAAAGCCTACTAGCCTTGAAGCTGTTTTCTGAACTTTGTGGTTTCTGTCATATTTCTGGCTTCTTACATAACAAAATGCTGGTGTGTGCGTGTCAGATGTTAGCGAGGGTGGTCTCTACTTGTGCAGAATACCCTTGAAAAAACCTGGAAACTATTCTAATGGGTGTCTTCACTTATATACTAAGATGTCAAAGCTATAGGTGAATTATGTTTACAGGGGAGGTCATCAAATTCGTCTTAATGTGGGAAAGGATTAAAAAAACTCCATACGTAACCGCTCTTTGCAAAAGTACCTATCCTGGTTTTAAAAGTGCTCGTTAATACTTTGATTAAGTTTCTTATAGTGGCACATACTCGCTATGTTTTCTGTGCATCCTACATAATCTGCAAACAGCAGATCAGTGCTAATTTAAAATGGTAATTATGCTGATTGACACACACATTTCATAGGAGAATGAATAACTGATGTTTATCTGTGCTAAAATGAAAAATGTTCCAGTTTTTTACTAGAAATATTCCAGGATATCTTTGTCAAATAATCCAGGAAATAAACTCAAGAAACGTTAGTTTACTCTTTTATGAGGTTTTTTCTAAGGCCGATAAAAATAAAGTCAAATGAGATTGAGTCTGAAGCTAACCGAACTTGTAATGACCACCAGCGAGAAACTCCTCTGATTAAGAAAAAGGAAGTCAGGTCATCTCTCCCATAAACTTCTATTAAAACTAACATATCACATGATTTATTTCCTTGATTTAAAAAACGGTGCTACTGAATTTATAAACCCAGTCACTAGTTTCAAGGCTTATTTGCATGATATTAGTTTTGAGCATGCAGTTTTTCTCATTTTTAGTCCGATCATCCCCTGGTTTGTCACATTTGGTTTCACAACAATAACATGGCAAATCCCCGAATTCTCAAATATATCCTGCCAAAGGATTTCACAGATCAGTGCATGATGGCTTCATCTATTTTTTTTAAATATATATATATATTGGAACAGAGAGAGGGAAACCTGCACACGGCTACTAAACTGAACAGGACTAAATCTCATAAAGTTTTTATCTGTCTTGTATGAAACTTGTATGAAAAGCATACAAGAGTGAAAACACATATAAGATCCCTTGAAAAATGATATAATGAAACTTGTATGTTTTGTATACTTACTAAAAAAATATATGAAAGTAATGAGAAAGTGGCCACTTTCATGAGTAAATCATATATGTTTTTACTATTTCTTTTCCATATGGGTATACTTGGTACAATGCAGTCAGACTTTAAAATCCATTAGACTCCAAATCCATTAACAAAGCATGATTCATCATTCCAGAGAACACGTCTCCTCTGCTCTAGAGTCCAGTGGTGGCGTGCTTCACACCACTTCATCCAACACTTTTGCATTGCACTAGGTGATGCAAGACTTGGCCTCAGCTGCTCTCCATGGAAACTCATTCCATGAAGCTCTCTACGCACTGATCTTGAGCTAATCTGAAAGCCACATGAATTTTGAAGGTTTGGAGTGATTGATTCTGCAGAAAGTTGTCGAACTCTGCGCACTATGGTCCTCAGCATCCGCTGACCCTGCTGTGTGATTTCATGTGGCCTACCACTTTGTGGCTGAGTTGCTGTCAGTCCCAATTGTTTCCACTTTAACAGCTGAGTGTAGTGTTGAAGTAGTGAGAAAATTTCACAACTGGACTTGTTGAACATGCGGCATCCTATCGAGGTAA